AAACGGTGTACTGTAAATAATAATTTAATTACAAATAGGCATTTAAGATGGCAAAAAAAAAAAAAAAAAAAACTGATCAGTTTTGGTCTACATAGAACAGGAAATTAATCAGGGTCCATACTGAAACAGTTCATGTCTTAAAGTGGGGGTATTAAGTAAAGTGGACTTTCTTGAGATTTAATTCATCTTTATTGTTGTTCCCTCAACAAAAACATACTTGAAGTATTGCTTTGATTTTTTGGTTTTGATTTTTTTTTATTTTTATGCATGTTTTGAGGAATTGTTGGATCTTCCTTGGCAGCCATTCAGGATGCAAACACACTTGGTCTCACAAAGCGTAGCCCATTGATGTATATTTACAATAATATATATGAAGTAACATATATCAACTGCAGACATTAGCAAACATTTTGAGGAAATATGAGTCTGCTGAGCTTGACGGCATGATGGGAAGACATTGTGATAGTGTGCTGAAGACGGAGTGTTGGAAAGAACAGGAGCTTCTTAAAAAGACAGAGGCCAATTTTAAGGCATTAAATTGCAAAGTAACATTTCTTTTAAATTATGTTTGATATGTACAGCATGTTTATAACAGCATAGTTGCTGGGTTGTGCTATAAATGACTCTATGTGCCTGGAAAGTGCATAATGTCACACCTACCAAATATAATCAGCAGGTGGCAGCGTTGTATGATCACCTGGGCTTGAAATTTACCAAACTGAATGAAATTATTTTGCATTCTTTGGGAATTCATCATTGCCTTTTACATTAACTGAAGGAGTTCACCATAGAAATATTTTTGGTAGGTTTTCAAACTATAAATTATTTGAAGACGAAATCGGGTTTCAGGCAGTAAAGCACTTTAACGCAGTTCTGCTATAAGAAACATTCAGCCCAGGCAAGGAATGAGTAAGTGTTGAAACATGTTATTCAAGAGCAGTGATGCTTGAAAATAAGCCAGAGTAGATGAGAATCATTGTGTTGCAAAGCATGTCAGAAGTATGACATGGTTTTGTTCTTGGGTACGTTGTGAACTTTTACAGTCATTCCTTCGTTCGGGAATTGGACATTCCAGTTTATGGTAACTCTTACAAACCTAGACGTGCTATTCTTCTGTTGTCAGTCAAGTTGTCTGAAAAAGCTCTGGATTGCTTAAGAAACTGTTGTGCAAATCTTCTAATTATCTAATACGATTTAAAAATGGTCTGTGAAAATTTCAATTTAATAAGTTTTGTCTCTTGTTTTCTGAATTTATAAAGCTCAAAAACAACAAGCCAATTGTTTCAAGAACTATAAAACGTTTCATGAATGTCTTTTTGTAAATACGCCACCAAATACTTTTTGTGGTTTTGGGCAGTGTTCAGACTCCTGTATTTTTGGTGGTTCAGTTGCTTTAATTTCTCTTATTTGATTTTGGGCTTCAGTTTTGGACGCCTCTAGTTGTATTTTGGAGATGTGGGATATGAATTTCTTCATACTATTTAAGTAGTATGTTTATCTCTGGGGCCTGTACTGAGTTACATGAAGGGGTGTGTCTGTTTGCCTTGTTACATAGATGAGCTGTGCAACATGTCATGAACAACACTGAGAAACAAGCAATATAAACCGATATTTTGGTAAATCGGTGCCAAACAAGTAAAACGTAACAAGCTGTTACGTTTACAAAGTTGTTCTATTATTCTATTATCAGAAAGATTAGACATTTACAGTAAGATTTTGAAACCTGTTTTGGACACAATTTGTGGATTCCTTCCTTGTGGGAATGATTCTATAGTGATGTAATGCAGCACACTGGTGACTTTCCAAAACCTTCATAACAACAAAAGCAAGCTGTTGCTGTCAGTACAATGTATCCTCTAATGTTGTAGTACACCACTGCTCTATATTATAGAATTTATTTGAATAACCAAACCTGTCCTGAGTGTACTTCGACTCTTGCCCGCTGACTTCTTATGCCTTCAACACTGACGGCATAAGAAAATACATAGACGATGGATGCCAGTAACCCTAGATGGGCTTTTACTAAATATCTCTGATGTTATGTATGATGTTTGTCTTTAAATTGTCACACTGCATATTGACAACACAAATTGTCCATAACTAAACTGTGTTTGCCCTTCATTGCAGCAAGTGAAGGCAAATAAAGTGGGAGTTTCACAGAGAAGTAACATTAACATGATTGACTGTGAAGACCAGATCTGAGTAGTCAGATGAAATTCTCCCCTGGTTTACTGTTTGTTTCACTCTGTAGATTTTAGCATCTTTTCTTTTCCTTTCTCCATTTTAGAGAATTTGTAGTTTTTGGAAAATATTGGCAAACACTATACTTAAAATTTTTCTCAAGTTTGAACTGTCAAGATGTTTGAAGGTTATAAATTACATTATTAAAATGATATATAAAATAAGGTGGATTGTTGTGACAGGGTGAGTTCGTGTGAACATTCTGAATTCAGTAAACGTTTTTTTTAGGAGACAGACGGGAAACTCCTGTTTGTGAAACACCTGTAAGGAACTTGCTTTCTTTTTTTAACTGCTTGTAATTAAAGTAGCTGATTCACTGTATTATATGCACTGTTGAATAAACTGATTGTAAAATAAACAGTTTATCATGTGCAACAACCGTAAATGAAGAAAGAGCAGCATGCAGCCAACCGAGTGCTTTCATTCTGAAAGGGTGAAACTCATAACTCATGTCTGAGAGGACACTGTGACAGGGTTGCATGGTAGACGATTTACAATTGATACAACTAAATGTTGCTAATGAGGGTCATTCTACACTAAAATGACTGAAAAGGTATGCAAACAGATCACTAATATTGCATGTAAATTATTTCATTTTGTGGTGAACAAAAAAAATCTGCATCAGCCAAAGAACGAGTATTTCTAGAATCAGATTCTCACCGCCAGAAGGCCCGAGTAGTGTCAGGAGAGATTTGCTACAGGCATTTTACGAGGGCATCTAAGCATACTCAGTCAAAGCAGTGTACTGCGTGCCTCAAACATTACACAAGATTACATTCAAAGAGTGAATCTGCTTCCTTTTAGGTTTGCTCAAGGCAACTTGTCATATTTCGCAAATGTCCAGCGTTTGGGGATTCGTTTTTACGACATCTTGTGGAAAGATGCAACATGTGGATGTGTCTTCATGCAACTGTTGGTTCTAATATCAAGTTCCTGAATGCCCCATATTATAGCATTTAACGTGTCGGGTTTCATGCAATACTGTTTAAGAAACTACAAATTGCAAGTCCAAACATGTTTTGGAAAAGTTTCCTCAGCCTTGACTAAAATTGGTACAGTCTGAGGAAACGCAAGATTAAGGAAGAAAATATATTAAATTACACTACAAGTATGTTAAATTACGCTACACACACATAAATACTTTGAAATATTTACTGCGAAATTCTTTAAAAACAAGCAGCTCAATGCAAGTTTGAAACTAAAACTCAGAGATAAAATCTACCAGGGGAATGAATAATTACAATCTAAGCTGTACAAATGACATTCAAATACATTAGACATAAATTTAGACACTCCATGTAGTGCATAAACGGAGTGGAGGACATTATTTTGTAACTTCTGCAGAACCAAATCTTCCTTGTTGAGTCGCTGCAACACACCCCACTCTACATGTACCTAGGCTCATGTTTGCTGCTGAGGCTTCAGAAATTATGGTTTTCTTTTGTCTCCCCTCTAGCCTAGGTAGTTGTTGAGGTGGAGGCATAGCGGGGCTACGTGGTTTATGTGATGGGTCCCACTTGATAAACACCAATCCATGCCATTCATGCCACTCTCTCGGGTAGTTTCTGCCTGGCTGAAACTATATTTGAGGATAGTTCTACATTTATTTATTTTGTTCTTGAATGCATGATGTGAAACATTTCAGTTTGTTTCAATGGAAAGTCAAGTGGTAGTCTCCAGGCAGCTGTTTGTTCCAACCACGATTTAATTTAACTTGGTTAATTCACTGGTGGTGGCGTGAAATGGTATCAAATTCCCGGCCTGGATTATCCCAGTCCACCCCTGCTTGGAAATCAAATTTGGCTATTCCAGTGTCGTCACATATGGCTCAGGAGTTTTGTTGAAGCTGTAAAGCATCATGGCTGGTCAGGTTTTGGTCAGGATTCTGGCAGCAGCATTTTGGAAGAGTTTAAAAGAATGAAAAATAACAGCTTAAATTTGGCATGAGTTAATTAACATTAACTTAACAAACTTGATTTTCAGCCTGAAGAAAAATGCTCATGTTCTAAATTCAGCAGGCGTTTCAAGACTTGTCCTACTAGTTACGCTAAGCCATTCTTTTTGGTGCATGCCAGATGACATTTTTCCTGATGTGTGAAGTGGAAATATTTTTCTACACTCCTCTTTCTCTTCAGATAGAGAGTTGATTGCATAACTAAAACAAACCGAAGCATTTATGTTCAACAAGAAAATGTTAGTTGCTGAAGTCAGATGACATTTCAGATTTTCTAGAGTGGGTGTTTTGCTGTCTTAGCCAGCCAGTATCTTGTCAAGCATCATAGAGCCGAGGTATTTCAGCTTCTCAACCTGCGTTTTCTTTTACATTTTTTTGATAAGCATTTTGAATAATTTGGAGTGGAAAAACCCACTAATAGGTGAATCCATAAATGCCGAAACACAAATAGGCACTGTATAATGATAAACTAACAGACAATGTTTGCAAACCTAAAGTAATATAGCTGTAAACTTTTTTTTTTTGATGGGTTTTATTTTGTAGAGCCATGCAGTTATTATTAAAAAGACTGACACTTTTTACCTTCACTTCCAGTTCTAGTCCTCATGGAACTTGGAACTGACATGTCGGCGTTTTGGGTCTGACAATTAAGGATTTAAAAGAGACTTTGAATCCGCAGGGTTTAATGGACTTTGTCTTGTCGGACATAAACCTGAGAAAGGAGGTGGAAGAACATATATGAATACAAATGTTGGATTTTTGGACCTGCTGTCGTAAAAATCTGTCTTCCTCTCTCTTTGTTTCAGAAGCTTAAAGTGGCCTCCAGTCATGAGTCCCCGCTGCAGAGTGAACTTCAACACTATGATTTTCCTGGTCGTCCTGCAGGGGGCAGCAGTTGTGCTCTTCTGCAACTGGTACTACCAGCTGAGCCCCTGCAACTCCCCTCCCCGAAAAGGCAAGATTCACGTTTTGCTGCTGTCGTCGTGGCGATCAGGTTCATCCTTTCTGGGTCAGGTTTTCAGTCAACACCCATCTGTTTTCTACCTCATGGAGCCCGGGTGGCATGTTTGGACCAAAATAGAGAAACCTGGTGCACGAGTTCTCCGAATGGCTGTGAGGGATCTAATGCGGAGCTTGTACCAGTGTGACTTCTCAGTGATGGATTCCTACATGCCTGAGAACTACAATATGTCCACCTTGTTTATGTTTCACCACAGTCGGGCACTGTGCTCGCCTCCTGCGTGCTCCCTCACACGGCGCAGTGACATGAGCAACGAGACTCTTTGCCAAAAGAAATGTGATTCTCAAGGTTTGGAGATGGTGGAGAAGGCCTGCCACACTTACAGCCATGTGGTTTTAAAAGAAACTCGTTTTTTTGAGCTGGAATCCCTTTATCCCCTTTTTCAAGACCCAAACCTGGACCTCCGCATCGTTCACCTCGTTCGAGACCCTCGGGCCGTGATACGGTCAAGAGAGGAATCAGCCAAGTCTTTTGACATGGACAACGCCATCGTCTTGGAGCAAAGAAACGTACCAGCAGCCAGTATCCAGTACGAAGTGATGCAGGAGATCTGCAGAAGCCACGTACGCATCAACGAAAGGGCAATCCTGAAGCCACCTCCTTTTCTGGAAGGTCGCTACAAAATGATTCGGTATGAAGACGTGGCACGCAACCCGTTGAAGGAGATTAATGATATTTATGACTTTGTCGGTTTAGAGATGACAAGTCAGATGGAGGAATGGATCTACAAAGTGACCCACGGAAAAGGGAAAGGCAGCAAGAAAGAGGCTTTCCAGATCACCTCTAGGAATGCCAATGAGGTGTCACAGGCGTGGCGCACCGTGCTGCAACACAGCAAGGTCAAACGCATTCAGGAGCTGTGCAAAGGGGCCATGTCGCTGCTCGGCTACCGGACAGTTGACAGCGAAAAAGAACAGAAGAGACTCGACATAGATCTGCTGGTTCCACGTGAACCTTACGAGTTCAGCTGGGTTTCAGCTAAATCTCAGCGCACAGGGAGCAGCTAGAGCATCACGCCTCCTGTTTCAGGTCCTCTCAGAGGCGACAGGCTTGAATAGTCTCCCTGTCGCTGTTAAAGCACGGCTCAAACTTCCACCTCAGACTGCCTCTTTTCAAGATTTGAAGATTAATTACAGCCTTTTTGCATGACAGTACACTGAGTACAGCATGTGAAAGTGGAGTAAAAGACTCAGTAGAACTTACTGACAGCCTTGTTCCTGAAAACCTCTGATAGATGGTTAGCTATGCAAGGGTTTACACTCCATTGCATTTCACAGAACATCACTCACAACTACCTTAAGAGTCACAGTTGAGCTTGAAGACAAACTAATGGCACCTGTTTTCAATGCTTTCCACTTCTTTTCCACTAACTTTTGTATTTGTATATTATTTAAATGATCATGTAAACCTTAGCAAAATGTCAACATACACCCTATGCCAATTAGCATACAGAGTTTGTCTTGTTATCCTTGGGCCCAGCGATTCCTGGAGTCTCTCTACTGCTTTGGAGGAGAAACTTACCAATATTTATGGAAACTTGAGACTCACAGTTACCAGGGGTTTCAACGGACAAATCTGATTTACCTAAATTTGTATACATTGGAATGGTATGCGTACATCCAGTCTCACATGTAATTTATTGTAAATCAATGCGTTCTTTGTCCAGTGATGAGCAGGAACACATTTCTGAGGGTACGTGTATATTGTCTGAGAAGGCCGAGCTTAACATGGCTTTTTATTCCTGAGAAACTTGAATAGAGCACAGCTCGTTGGAGTGTACTGATCTGGAGACAAGAGATGCCTGAAGATCAGATCGTTTTAGGACAAACTTTGGCTTCTTCTTTTTTATGAAGGAATCAACAAAATTTTGCCTCAAAGACAGGATTTGGTTGTCTGCTATGTGTGTTAGGCTGTTACACATCTGACCACCTCATTCTGCAACATGTAGCTTTTCCGTTCTGACAAACATAAATGTACAAAGTTGTTTTTTAAATAGCGCTGAATTGTTTGCGAGATTTACCTGAGAATGTGCGTTTAAAGGCTAAAATATGTCAGAGTTGCTTTGTAAAGTGTAACACAAAAAATGAAGTTATGGTGTAGTGATAGTGAGTGAACGATGGCACAGATCAGTCTTAAACTACATGCATCATCATTAATTCAACTTTTCCTTTACAGTGGTGTTCAAACTTGTAGGTAATGATTGTTATACTTATTTAAATTTGATGACTGAAAGGGATAACTATACCTACGTAACATCAAGCTGATATTAATGCATAACAAAGTTGCCAACTACAAAAAACTGGCAAAAGGAAAAGGACACTTAAAGCTTTAGCCACACGTGTAGTGGATACAAGTGAAGTAATGCAAAAATGTAGCATATTACTGGTGTAGCAGCTCCCCAGCACTTGAATTAATTTGCGTGGTCTCGACGGGTGATTTTCAAGGTTTGTTTATTTTTCTTTGATGTGGACCATCAGTCATCTCAATCATCTTGATTACCTCAGTCACCGTAGTCACCGTGAAAACTAAACAGATATACAAATATTAGAATATAAACATAAACTTCCAACACACAAACAAAATAAAAGGTACCTCGCTGTTTTCACCGGGGAACACTAAGTGTTGACAGTGCCAAGCACATCTTTGACAGTTTGTTCAAGTCATTCATTGGTACAATGATTCTGCCAGCTTTTTTAGGGCCTGCCCTCATTTAGCTACGGCAGCCCGTGAGGTACATAACAACAAAAAAAAAAACTTTACAAAGCGCAAATACAATTAAACAAAACAAAATACAAACCACCAACAGTGCTAATCAAAACAGACAAATATTAAACAATCTGCAACATCCTTAATTTAGAAAATTCACTTAAAATAATTTACAATAAATAGTTTACAAATTTGAATAATTTAGGCAGTTTATTTTAATGGGTCACTATCCATTACAACTGGTGATAATCAAAACAACAAAAGAAGATGATGTAATGAAAAAGCTAATTTATTTCAGTGATTTTATTCAAAAAATGAAACTGATATTCTACATGGGCCCATACACAGAGGGTGGCATATCTTCACTGTTTATTGTTTTATATTAGACTTATTATACTGGTTTACTAATCCAACAAAAAAGAAATTACTTCAAGAAAAAATGTTTATATACAAAGTTAGTCCATTGCAAAGTATGTCCATGGTTATGTGAGCTTGCATACGTTTTATTAATACATTTTCCTTCCAGTCAACTTTCCATCAACATGCTGCGATGCAGCACTTTGAACATCCGGGTTTCAGCTTCCTTTACCAGTTTACCCACTATGGGGGGCAGCATCAGTGACTGCTGGTGGACAGCTGTCAGCATCAGCTGGTTGTGTAGACTAGAGAAAACCTTTTGTTTTAGAAATCCTTTCATAATTGCACTGAAATTATGAAACAAAGAAACAGTTTATAAGCAATAGCAATATTCAGAGATAAGTATTTTCTATTCTATGAGTAATAAATATCTATATTTTTGTACGTTTTCACTTTTCCACTCGAGTGGCTTTTGTTTTCCAGTTGGTAACAAATAAAAACTGGTTTCATTTCATTATTCTCATCAAAGTGCCTGGAAATGTGGTTCAGTTTAGTTGACTTTTATTGACATTTTTTATTTTTTATTTTATTCTGAATCTTTAGTGATTTAATATCCAAGCTTTAATTTTGATTTTTAGGTGTAGGATTTTTAATTTGACTGGAAAACAAAGATATTCTTCTTAGTGGACCAGATTTCTCTTTGACTAACACTGAAAATGTTCAAAGTGGTCAGACATTGAGGAGGTAGTTTACTATGAGCTTTGATTATTTATGTTGACTGAGTGCTTTACGTGAAGGTGTCGATGAATCAGACCTTTATGGTTTCAGTATTCATTTTTAATTCTCACGTGACTGAAGTAATATCTACTGTTGCAGTGAAACTGATGCACAGCATTTCCTTTGTGGTTCAACACAGTATGGATGGATCAACATAAGAAAAGCAATTCAGTTTTAGAAACTTAGGGTTGCACTAATAAATGTGTGCAAGTTACTGATTTTTATTTTTCTGTGACTTTAAAAAGGACAGACAGCCCCATTGGGATGTCATTTAGTTTTACTCTATGTTGATTCACATGTTTAGCTTTTATAAGGACCCCTTATCTTTCTGCCCTCTATTTTTTTTATTTATTTGTGTTTTGAATAATAATTTCTGTTGCATCAACTTTTTTTCCCATCAGTTTGGTTTCATGGTTTTTTGTAGCTGCAAATGTTTTGACTCCAATTTGTTTCTCATGCCTTAGTTGTTTTTGCATTGCTGTATAAATTAATGTTTTTTGAGACACTAACTCCTGTATTTCTGATCAGTTTGTCGAAGCTGTTTAAAGGTCATACTGAGTGATTTTATGTAATTTTCTTATTTTTTGCCTCCTTTAAGATTTGTGCACTCTCATTTCTTTATATTTTGTCAGCTTTTCTGTCATCTTATTGAATTTCTTAAATTAAAATGTTTCCATGACCCAGGGGCTCCTCTGTCTGGTACCGATATGTAACCAAACCATGCACATGTTGTTGGGATATATTTATAGAATTAGTGCCTTAATGTATGTTGTTGTATGTTGATTAAAATCTAGTATAAAAAAAACCCCAAAACAAAACATACTGTGTTTAACGCATGGTGTCAGTTTGCAGTGTTTCATTCTGGATAACAAAAGGTTAAACATGAGCCATATGCTTCTCTTCTGGGTTGTCTGACAGTCTTGATGTGATTTCACCATTTTTCCAAACAATACTTCATGTTTTGCAATGGATACAGCTTCATTTTTCCTTCTATAAACGTAAAACTTTAGTGACTGTACAAAAAGCTCCAGTTTTATCTGACTTATCTAAAGTGGTGGTTTTAAACCCTGTTTTGACAGTTCACCACCGTGGTAAATAGTAGGATTCACAGACTTTTTAAGGAAGTTTCAAAAATGTATCTTTAACCTGTATTGACCTTCCAAAAAGTTGCACTTCTGCTATGTTAGTCCATAAAATATTTTTCTTTAGGGTTTCTTCAAGTTGTTTTGGGGAATTAGGAGTTGAGCTTTAGCTTTGTTTTTGGTCAGATTCAGGAGTGAGTTTCACTATTTATGCCACCTCCAGGTCTCCTTCTTATTACATCGAGCTCTTTCTCCTGTTGGATGAATAGTCAGTGTGTGGGTTCACCGCTCTTCCATTCTTTCTCCATTTGTGCTTAATGTCTCTGAATTATTCTCATAATTTGAGAATAATCAAATTATTTACAAATTGCCAGGCACTGCCATACCACAGTTTCACATATTATGTAATGTTGAAAACTGCATTTTGCTTTTCTGCTTACATCTTCACAAAGGTTTGTTGAGTAAATACTACTTTTTTATGTCCACCCACTGCTCGCCTTGAGGCAAAATAAAGGCTTAAGGTGTTTTTTTTTTTTTCATGTTGCTGTGCGAAGATGAGTTGAATTCATTTATCACAGAGACAATACAGGTAATCCAGAGCTGGACAGGTGAGTGCAGCTATTGATAAAAATCTACTAATGGATAGAAGCCCATTTTTGCCACTTGAAGAAAAAAAGTCGTAGCATATGCTGTAATAGCTAATAAATATCAGATTGTCATTTTGACTTCAAAAAAGGTAAAGAGTTCACTCAAGTTTATGAGATTAAAATCAATAATTTTAATGTTGTAAAATTAATTGAACTTTATACCCAGACCTGTCCAAAATGTACCAGTATCCTTAATTGTAAAATTCTAAGTGAAAGGTAAACTTTTTTTTAGACTAATTCAACTTTGTATCTCATGTTTATAACATCAGGAGTCAGAATTTAGAGTGCAAAAAATTTAGAGTGCGATTTGTAAAGTCTTCAATCATATTTTCAACTTTCAGAGTTCCCAATGTGACCACATTTGTGACTGACATTGTGTTTTAATGCTGGGTTTGTTTGGCATGAATGAGCTTCCATACCCGGTACCATTCAGAGCATCAAAAGCGGACTGTAAAAATACATTAGGTCCGGGAGAATCGTTTTGGTTGCTCTCATAAAGTCAGCCACAGTAAGATGGCAGGTTAAAGCAGCGAAAAGAAGCGAGCCAGCACTGCGGCCAGGACGGATGGACAATGACCCAACAGAAGCAGCGCAGGGCGGGGATGCCGCACCTTCCGCTGACCGCAGATAACTTCTTTGAATTAACTTCTGAACTCCGGTAATGACAAGAACTGACGAGAAATACTCTAAAATAGGTACTGAAACCGCGAGGTAAGCAAATACAGTCAAACTGTGCAGGTTTACAGCAGCTCTACATGTAGAGAGATGAAGAAAAGTTCACTTAGAAATAAAAATAATAATAATACTGCGCTAAGACACCAGCTTTAAATTCAAATCTTAATCATGTCTATGCATACCGACTCATCTGGTCTCCACCTGCAGAGCAATGCACCTCCTGCAGCGGATGTGGCCGTGATCATCCGTCTCTGGTCCCGCCTGCTGATCAGCCATCCCTCCCACCAGCTCCGCGAGTACCGGTCCAGTACCAGTTCACCCAGTCCAGAGGACGGCGCAGAGGAGGAGAGCTGCTGACAGCCATCAGTTAATTAACACACTTACGGTAGGATTTATTGTTATTCAAGTGAATGAATAGATAATATATTAAATATGTTTCTTTAACACTATAATGTAATAATAGTAAGACGATTTATTTTTCTATTTGGGCAAAACTCTGGAGGATTACTTATTATTTTTTAACTATAATGAATCCCTCTCAAAAAATTCCCCCAATGTTGAATTTGTAAAATAATAATAATAATACATTAAAATGAATTTACAATGAAATGACAAAATATGAACTTTCAAAAACCAGAGAATACAGAAGGACACGGAACAAATGTGCTTATTTTTAAAAAGCCAAAGGAAGTATTTAGCATAGTTTTATTTATGTTTGTTTATACATCACTAAGTTCAGGCAACAGCACAACGTCCCAGTCAAATCCCACAGATCACGAGGTGTCACATATGCGCTTTAGAAGAGGGATTTAGTTGAAATCGCTGGAAAGTTCTCCAGGAAACACTGAGGGACACTTTTCAGATAAGCTCAAACATCTAATGATGAGCAAAGAGGCATGGGGAATTTTAAATCTTCAGTTGTTTTTTTTTTTAAATACAGTGTTGAAGAGCATTGTGTTTCTTTATCTTTATTAATTTATTTTGCTCCCATTTTCTCTTAATTTACAGTTCTATTAATGACTAATTAATTGCTCATTTAAAGACATTCAAATGAAGAAGTCCTGCGAGGTTTTTCCCTTAAGACATGTTGCTAAAGGCACCAAACGCTTTTCCCAGAACCAGAGTAACAAGTATTTGATGAAACACCTCAGGGAAGATAAGCTATGATAATATGATTGATATGTGTGGAACTTATACTAGTCATATCCCTTTGTTTCACAAGTCCATGCAAAAACTAGTTCTAGTTTGTTTAATTTGCATATTTATGCCACATTTTCTCTTTCTCCCACGTTATCTTGATTTATGGCCTCACCACTGCTTCGTCAAATTCTGCTGAAACCATTTTTCAATTCATGTTCAAATTGTAATGTATTAGCAAAATCAGCCAGAACCCAAAACGCAGCCAAGACAAGTGTTCAAATTCACAAAAAGTTTATTGCAAAAAAAGGGTGAAGAAGGGGCTCCACAGGGTGTGGTCACACTGGTGACTGAGGAATGGGGAAACCACAGGGGTTGGGAAGCCAGCTAGGGGAGGGTGAAAGGGCCGTGGGGACCCAGGGGACAACCAGATGACTGGGACAAAATCCACAAACCAGAGACTTAGTCGTTGAAACAATCCAGGGTCATGCACAGGGGCTTCTCAGGCAATGTAAATCCAACAGACAGAAAACTGGAGGCAGGGTCAGAGGCAGGCAGGGTTCAGCAACAGGAGGTCAAAAAATCTTCAACAGCAGAGGGAAAAGGCCAAAATCTGTGGTCAAAAAAACAGACAGCATAAGAAAACCAGGAGACTCATGAACATGGAATAAGGCTTGAAAGCTGTAACTGTGGCAACAGACAATCTCGCACTGAGCTGGTGCAGGTGAGGATAATGAGTAATCAGCACACTCAGGGTAGGGCTGCAGGGCTGCAATCATGACACAGGTAGAGACATAAAGTAAATGCTGCCAGCTGTTTTATTCTTCTGTCTGAAAGGAGCAGCTCCTTTTTAATTAGCTTTTGTTTTGGACATGCATCTCGATCATTTAAAATACTTTGGGGAAAGTACATTTTTGTTTGCAATTCCCCACAATGAAGTAAGCAACATGGATTAATCAGCCTCATTAAATAAAATACAGTCATATTCAATATGTGCATTCATTTAAGCTCAGCTGTCAAATCAGAAATATCTTTTTTAAAATAACCTTTCAGCAGGTATTTCTTGCTACTTTCATTAATACCCTTCTGCATTAAAATAGTATTTTTATGAGTTTGATGTAATATTCTAATATTAAATGGTGTGTTTTTCATGAATAACAGAAATAAATGCATGAAAACATCAATAAGTGTTTAAAAAATGTAAATATTAGTGAATTGAGTTACTGAAATAAATACATTTTTCAATAATATTCTAATGTTTAAACGAGGGAGTGAATTATCATTCTAAGTTTCATATTAAAATCTATTCAGTGGGTAAACTGTTGCATTCAGTGATCCTTAAATTAAAATTTTCTAAAAAAAAAAAACAGAAAAATGTCTTCAGATGAAATTGAGAGATTATATTGAATCTTGTGGATAATTAACCAGTGTTTAACCAAGCTAATGAGTAAAGAAGCGAGGCAAACCTAAACAAACAAACCACAACTTCCAAAAGGAACTAAAAATCAATGGCAGATGAGAGATAAAATATTAACTGGTTTAAATCTGTGGAGAGTCTGTAGAGAAAGCACACACACAGCAAAAAGTCCAGTGTTGATTTAACTCCCACAGA